TTTAAACTTTTCTCCCGAATCGGAGCGACACCTCATTGGCAGCATACAGCAGAGCATTGAGAACTCACGCTTCGCGTCATCGCGCCTTCAATTTTTCAGATGCAGCACGGACGTCCATCAAGGACGAATAGTTGTATCTCTGCGCCGTCGTAAACGCGCATCCTTTCCCTCCCTCCCTATCCATATTGTGTTTGTTTCCGTTTGTCTCATTCGTAATGGTGCTTCAAGCACTACGTGAATATAACACAGCCGAAGGTAGGAGAGATGTGTTCGGGCCACTTTTTAAACTTCCCTTCCGAATCTGAGCGACACTTCATCGGCAGAATATAGCACAGCATTGAGAACTCACGCTTCGCGTCATCGCGCCTTCAATTTTTCAGACGCAGCACGGACGTCCTTCAAGCACGAATAGTTGTATCTCTGCGCCGTCGTTAACGCGCATCCTTTTTCTCCCTCTATTTCCATGTTGTGTTTGTTTCCGTTTGTCTTATTTGTAATGTTGCTTAAACTAGAGCGGGGCATTGCGAGTTCACGACTCACGCCATTGCGTCTTACATTTTTCATTTGCAATCCATCTTGCGAGAATAGTTGTATTGTTCTTAATTGCCAAATCTTCATTATTTTTTTAAACAGTCAGTTAATCGTGTCAGATATTTAAGTCAAATAAGCTATAGGGTACCAACCCCTGTGAAGTTCCTTCCTTTTGGGTGCTTCAAATGCTAATCAAGGTCATCTTAGCTCTTTCGGCAAGAGATATGCCACCCTCCTCTCAACATTCTCAGTATTACTTGGTTTTACAACATCTCGATTTTATTGTTGAATATTTGGCGTTTGGCCCACCGTTGATCCTGAAAAAAATAATTTTTTCTAGCTTTCTCATTATTTCCTTCTGGTTCCTAACAATTGGCGAGATGCTTTCTACCAAAGTTAACTAATATTGAGGATTTAGATTTCTTCAATACGTCTTCAAGGACAGGCGTGTCAAATATAGCGTAGAAGATTGTATTTATTTTTATTAAATTGTTTTACAATTAGGTCAAATGAAATAAAGAAATCTCATATGGAGCCAGACTATAGCTTTGAAAGGCTTTGGGCTTCAACTTTTTTATTTTGTTGGTATTGATGTATTTTTGTTATACTTTGTTTCTACATTTCTGTTGACCTATGATTTTTTTTAAATGCTGTTTCATTTCTACTCCTCTACTGATGATATAAATTATTTTAATTTCAAAGATACAAAACTTACATCTTTATTTAGGAGTTTTCTTCTTCCTGATTAATTTATTCTTTGAATTGATCACATTATTGGAAGGAACTCATTGCTTGAGACAGAAAATACATTTAATTTAAATTTAATAAAAATCTTCAATAGCATTATTTAGTACTATTCACGAAAGCTTTCGTAAGAGCAAAATATTTCATCCACAAACGACTGAAGCATTATTTACAGTTTCTTTATCTTATCAAGTTATGCCCTTATATCAAATATTTCTTTTTTTTTGGGGGGGGGGACGAGTATTATAAATAAAAGGAAAGAAAATACTATGAAGATTAAACACGATTGAAACATGATTAATATTTTTTTTAATTTCGTATCATAATCAAGACAATACCTGATAAAAGGAAGTGATCCATAACAAACGACTTGTGTTACACAAGTTTTGAATATTTTGACTTTTTAAAAAGAAAGTAATATTAAAAAGAAACAAAAAATCGAAGTAATTTTCAATTAGCTCAAACACAAAGGCTGGTTGCCCCCCCCCCCCCCCCCTGCTTGCATGGCGCCTTACACTGGCGCCTAGATATCAGCAGGGCCAGGGCGCCAAGAGCGATGGATCTTCTGTCCTCTTCGAAATGAAATTAAACTAACCGACTGTTGACCCAGTGAGACAAGTCTTGTCTTCCGTATCAGTAAAAGTGGGCGACGGATTCGATCAGATATGACGTGTGATCGTATATTCCGGATAATCGCAATTTGATGCATGCTGCAATGAGGGGAAACGAAGATGTGAGAGATACGGTCGGAGAAGGTGCGATATCAATGAGGGGAAAGGCTTTCTTCACTAACATGACTTCGAGCCCGGGTAATCTCCTGTGGTCAACTGAGTCATGTACGGCGGGTTACGGAAAACTATTTTTCGCAGGAATAACGATCCCGCTTGTACATCAATAGATTCATTATGGCTTTGACTACCTTTCAATAGCAAAATTTGCAAAAATTAATGCTGATTGAATTATAAAATGTCGAAAAAATACAAGCAGTTCTTGATCTCTCCATAAGCCGCCGTGTTACAAAATGCCGTTGGGTTCACACTTGGTTCACACTTTTCGGAGCACACGCGGCTTCATGGATTGGCTTCATCGGCGCTCCAGTACTTTGCGACTCTGTTGTACTCTATGCTGCCGACTCAGGGGCTATCCCTCCCGCACTCGCCCGGTGAGACGTTCAGACTTTCCTGTTCTTATGCTCCTCAAGAATCTGATTTGGATGGTGGTCGAGCAAAACGGCGTGCGGTCTCCGAGATAAGACTGCCGCTCGGTGCGGGAGTCCCCATGATTTCCTTGTTGACACACAGCCGCTTGTCAATCCAGCACTGAAATGAGGAATCTTTCTGGCTTTTTATCACCGAATAGGTAATTGAATCTTCTCATAGGTTTTTTGCGAAAACGGTGCATCGTAGAAAGTTGGCGCAATTATAACTTTTGATCAGCATCTTGAGGAGAATCCAAAGACATAAGTCAGGAGGCAATTCTTCATGGTGTAGCTTCCCATAAGAGGTGTGCGGGGTCCTTTACTCATTTTTGCGGAAGAACGCTCATTTTTGTACATTCTTGGCAAAAACATTGAATCACGTAGACCGTGCATCCTGTGTTACGGAAGGCGAGACAACTTTGAAAAATTCGCATGTGATGAGTGGTGGCACCAACCCGCATCGATGAGTTCGTGTGTCCCAGTTGCGCACATCTGCGCATGCCCAGTAGCGGCTCCAGTGAATTTTCGTCGGATTGTGAGGCTTTTTTTTGTTTTTGTGAGGCGTCCCATGTGTTCTAAAACTTTTTTTCTCATGAATTTGATCTGAAAATGGACTCTAAACGAGATATTCATGAAAAACCGAGCGCGGGCATGAATTCTAGCTCCATTGCCTCTCTGCAGTCTATTCGAGTGCTTGGGACACACGCTCTCTCTCCTTCCCCGCCCGCCCATCATGGGGCTCCGAGAGACTTAGCTTCGCTACGCCTGTATTAAACCGAGCCGGACGCACGGTCTACGTGATTCAATGTCTTTGATTCTTGGCCATCTCGGTTAGAATTGGAATTTGCAGACTCTGCAGACTGGCAGTGAAATTTTGGGTGAAGTTAGTTGGAAGGATGGCTGCACTTTTGGGCCCTAAGACCTCCATGAAGCGATCTGTCCATACTCTCGCTATACAGGTACTCTACCCCAAGGCAGGGGACGGAACTCCTATAATCAGTCGGGAAAGTCGCTCCTCCACCCAAGACCCCGCGCTCTCTTCCCATTTGAGAAAATGGGTATGTAGCAAACTTTTCCCTAGTAGCACATCTTGTAATATAATTCGTAAAAAAAAAAAAATTAAAACTGGTAAATTTTACGAGTACGAAAGATGTACGTAAAAGAACTCGTAAAAAATCAGAGTCTGAAAACTTAACGTAAAAAATTTGTGATCCAAGACGTAAAAAAAACTGGGGGATTGAACTGAAATCTGTTCGTAAAAAATTCGCGATTTTTTTCATTTAGAAAATCAGGAAAAAAATGTCTGAACGGAAAATTCACTGTATTGACCGAACAGGAAATACCTTTGTAGTTTTTATGAAAAGGAAATAAAGCAAAAAATTCTAATGTCTCCTAAAGATTGTTTGTAAAAAAAGTACAGCCCAAAAACTGGATACAAAAACACATTGTTCTGAACGAATAAGCGAGAGTTTTTAAAAGTTCGAGAAGATTTTAATAACTTATCTCTATTAAAATAATTAAGATTTTCTTATAAAAAGTTGATGCATGTTAATAGTTGGACATATTATTAAAAAGTACATAATTTTTTTCACGTATTCCTGAACAACAAAGGTACTTTTGAAAGTAGGTATACCATCTTTAAAATATCCATGATAAACATTAGTTTTTGCCCTTATCCAGTTTTTCCAAATTCAAAAAATATTCCGCAATTCGTTCTCACGCATATTCAACAGTAAAAATATTCACTTATACGGCGCAAATTCGCCCCTCTATTACAGAAGCCTCGTTTGCTCAGTAGGTAGCGCATTCGATACCTGATAGGCAGGTCCCAGGTTCAATTCCCGACAGGTGGATAGTAATTTGAAAGTTGATCTCAAGGAGAATTAATTGACTACAGATTCAGATGGGTAAAAAGTTTATTTTTTTTCTTTACGATTTATCATTTTAATCAATTTTAGGAAGCAAGAGTTTTTTTGCGAATAACTTTTTACGTAAAGAAACTCTATCTTTTTACGTAAAAAATCTTGTACTCTTTACGAATTATTCTTGTAAAAAAGACTACATCGGCATTTCATTTTTGGTCTATTTTACGTCTTTTTTTTAGGAATTTTTTTTTGGTAAATTTTACGTCTTTGTGCTACTAGGGTTGCTAAAACGAAAATAATAGCTACTGTCAATAGTTAGGTACTGTCCCCTACGGGACTTGTTTACGCCGGAGGCGTTGAGGGAATTTTTGCGCTCGAGGCGCGGTGGGACCCCTGAGAGGAACTCGCCAGGGCTTTCCAGAGGGTACCTCTTGGAGGTGGGAAATAAAGCCCTAGGAGAAACTCCTTTGGGGTTGGTTTGGTGGGAGGAATGAATACCAGCCTTAAGGAGGTGACTCCAAGGGTGGGGGGGAGACGTCCTTAAGGAGGAACTCCTAGGGTCGGCATCTGTAGCGGAGCGTTGCAGGTGGCCGGTGCGGCGTGACCTAGAGAGGAACTCTCGAGAGCTGGTCAAAGCAAGATGTACCGCGAGAGTGTCTCTCATGGAAGTGGCCTGGAGAGGAACTCTCGGGAGCTGGTCCAAGCAAGATGTACCGCGAGAGTGTCTCTCATGGAAGTGGCCTGGAGAGGAACTCTCGGGAGCTGGTCCAAGCAAGATGTGCCGCGAGAGTGTCTCTCATGGAAGTGGCGATGGAAGTGACGAATGGAGCAGGTCACGGACCGTATTTATACCCGCCAGAGTGAGAGGAGACGACCGCTTGCCTCAATGCGTAGGAGCGAGATGGATGGATCACGTGCCGCGACACGTGCCGTTGCGTAACGTGGGCAGTGCGAACGGCATACGCATGGTCGCAAGGGCAGGAGAGGAGGCAGCGCGCGCTGCTCCCATGATGCTGTGACGCAACCGCGGCGCGGGTGACGGAAGTAGGGCCAGCGGCGCGGATAGCGGGTGCTGGAGGCAAGCGCCGAGCATGGCGGAGGAGCGTGACGCAGCCTTGGGTGCGGAGGTGACGCACGGTGGGGTCACCAGCGCGGGCGGTGGAGATGCGTAAGATAGCCGCAGGCGACGCGGCTTTCGGTGCGGGGAGCCGCGCGCTGCGAGATGGAGGATGCTGCGGGCGCGGGGAAGCGGGGGAAAGCACCGGCCGCGGGACGCGGACCGAGGTGCGACATCTCGTGATGAGAGCTGCCAGTTTTCACGGCGGTGACGGCGTGAACAACTAGGTCTCCCGGGTGCTTTGCGGCCAAACACCCAGAAGGCGCGATCGCGCCTTCCTAAGGTCCGCTTATATAGCGCGCCCCCGTAAGTGAATCTGAATAGGANTGACGGAAGCAGGGCCAGCGGCGCGGATAGCGGGTGCTGGAGGCAAGCGCCGAGCATGGCGGAGGAGCGTGACGCAGCCTTGGGTGCGGAGGTGACGCACGGTGGGGTCACCAGCGCGGGCGGTGGAGATGCGTAAGATAGCCGCAGGCGACGCGGCTTTCGGTGCGGGGAGCCGCGCGCTGCGAGATGGAGGATGCTGCGGGCGCGGGGAAGCGGGGGAAAGCACCGGCCGCGGGACGCGGACCGAGGTGCGACATCTCGTGATGAGAGCTGCCAGTTTTCACGGCGGTGACGGCGTGAACATTCCGCCCCCCATAATTCCTCGTAGAGGGATTATAGAAGAATAAAAGTTGTAAGAAGGTAATGCAAGCCAAGAAGGCATGGGTAGAGGGAAAAAAAGGATTTAGGGCAAAGATATAAAGCAAGCCAAGAAGGCATGGGTAGAGGGAGAAAAAGGAATTAGGGTAAAGAAATAAATGAGGTGCACAGTGCTTAATATAGGGCGATAAGGGGTGTTTGGAATGTGCATTTAGGTGCGGAGATGTACAGGAGTTTTTTAGGAGGTGGTTGTCGGGAGGGGCTGTGGTGAGGATTCCTCTGGTCGCCATAGGACTACGTAAAATAAACCCCCATCAGCTCGGGGCGGAATGTTCACGCCGTCTCCGCCGTGAAAACTAGCAGCTCATATCCCGAGTTATCGCTCCTCGGTCTGCGTTCCGCGACCGATGCCTTCCCCGCTTCCCCGCGCCCGGAGCATATCCCGCGTCGCGGCGTCGCGGCCCCCGCGCGTCGCCTGCGGCTATCTTACGCATCTCCACCGCCCGCGCTGATGACCCCGCCGTGCGTCACCTCCGCACCCAAGGCTGCGTCACGCTCCTTCGCCATGCTCGGCGCTTGCCTCCAGCACTCGCTCTCCGCGCCGCTGGCCCTGCTTCCGTCACCCGCGCCGCGGTTGCGTCACAGCATCATGGGAGCAGCGCGCGCTGCCTCCTCTCCTCCCCTTGCGACCATGCGTCTGCCGTCCGCACTGCCCGCGTTACGCAACGTCACAAGTCGCGGCACGTGATCCATCCATCTCGCTCCTACGCATTGAGGCAAGCGGTCGTCCCCTCTCACTCTGGCGGGTATAAATACTGTGCCGTGACCTGCTCCGTCGTCACTGCCTTGAGAGACTCTCACGAGGCACCACGCTTGACCAGCAAACCAATAGGTAAGTCCCTTCTCTATCTATTCCTCAGAGAGTCCCTCTCTAGGCAATACCGCCCCGGCTACCTACAGCGTTCCGCTACAGGTGTCGACCCTAGGAGTTCCTCCTTAAGGACGTCTCCCTTCCACCCTTGGCGTCACCTCCTTAAGGCTGGCACTTATTCCTCCCACCGAACCAACCCCAAAGGAGTTTCTCCTAGGGCTTTATTTCCCACCAACTCTAGCTCCAAGAGGTACCCTCTGGAAAGCCCTGGCGAGTTCCTCTCAGGGGTCCCACCGCGCCTCGAGCGCAAAAATTCCCTCAACGCCTCCGGCGTAAACATTGGTGCCGAAACCCGGGAAGTAGGGCTCAGTTGCCGGACTTCCCGAAAGCACGATCCATAAAAAATTCAGTCTAATATTATTCCTTTGTTCTAGTCTGTTTCCATGTTTTTCCTTTGCAGCTTCCCTATCTCTTAGGAAAACCAGACTAACCTTCCTTCCAGATTTCACAGGTCCCTAGAACCTGTTTCCGTGTTTTCTTGCAGGTTCCCTACCTCTAAGAAAAAAAAAAACCTAACCTACCTCCCATAACCCTCTCCAGATTCCCGCGGTCGTTTTGAAAAAGAAAAGATGAGCAGCAACGAAGATGAGGCCGCCGCGTCTCGAGCAGAACGCAACCGGGCAAATCAGCAATTGAAAGCAAAGAGAAACCTCCTCGTTGAACAAGTCCGCGCTACCCGGGACGCCTTCAGGCTTTTGACAGACGAAACGGTCGAGCATCACAGAGCCAGGTTTGATAAACTCAAGATCCTACAGGCGAGATTCGAAGAATTTCAAGATCAAGCTATAGAGATGAACAGCCTCCTGTGCAGCAACAACCAGATAGAGCTTTCGCAGGCACAGGCTGATTTCGACCGCATCCACAATGAAGCCGCAGCAGTTTTTCTATCCAAAGTTCCCAAAGCTACCCGAGAAACGACCTTCATGAACAATACCTCATTTTCCACCACCTTCATCAGGCTCCCCAAACTGGAACTGCCCAAGTTCAGTGGAGATCTGGGAAGCTGGAGGACTTGGCACAATCTGTACAAAGCCTCCGTGCATACCAGCCCATCCTTGCTAGGCGTGCAAAAGTTTCAGTACCTAATAGGTAGTCTGAAAGGTGATGCTCTCGCCCTGGTCACAGGACTTGACATCACCGCGGAAAACTATGAGGTCGCTTGGAAGCTCCTATGCGATCGTTACCATTCTGAACGTCGTCACGTCTTCTTCCACTTTCATGGGCTGCTGGACCTGCCGGACTTCAAACATTCAGAACAAATTCCCCCGCTCATAACCAAGATTAGAGAGCACTCTCAGGCTCTCCAAGCCCTAGGTCATGCTCCGGATACCTACGCCGGACTCCTAACGGCTCACATCATCAGGAAGCTGTCATACCGCTTGAGACAGCGACTCGAAGACTATAGGGGCGCCGACTCAACCTACCCCAAACTCGAAGAATTAATGGAATTCCTCGAAAAGGAGCGACGCGGCTCGGAGGACACCCTGTCCAGCCGCAAGGAGACCAGGACACTGGTCACCTCCCAGCCCAGAAATGCTGGAGGAAAACCCTGGAAATCCAAGCCCAGTGGAGAAACTGTCCTCGCCGCAACCTCCACTCCCGAAGACAAACCCTCATCCTCCTACCGAAAGGGCCCGAAGTGTCCGCTATGCCTCACCACACACCGATTGCGGCAATGCCCTACCTTCCAGGCCAAAAGTGCAGCGGACAGACGCTCGTACATCGAAACCAGCAAAAGATGCTTCAACTGCCTTGGCCTGCACAAGGTCTCGCAGTGCAACAACACCGGAACTTGCTCCGAATGCGGCAGGAGGCACAAAAAGGTCTTCTCCTGCGACATCCGCCAAATGTACCTACAAGTGAGCTTACACCCTGAAGATCGCCGCTTCCACCTACTCCTGTGGCGACCAGACGAATCCGCGCCACTAAAAACATACCAAATGACCACAGTCACTTTCGGTGTGAACAGCTCGTTCTTCCTAGCAATTAGGACGCTGCAGCAGCTAGCCAAGGACTACCAAGCCCAATACCCCCGCGCCGCCCGAGTGATACTCGATGACGCATACGCCGACGACATCACATCAGGGAGATGTTCAACGGAGGAGGCTCTCAGTGTCCTTAAAGAACTGATAGCACTTCTAGCAGAAGGAGGATTTTCGCTCGCAAAATGGGCCTCCAACGACCCCCAACTGCTAGAGGAAATCCCGCCCGAACTTTGGGAGACGCTCGTACCGTGGGGCCGCAACCTGCTACCAGCCCTCTCCATTTTAGGGCTAACTTGGATACCCTCAAAGGACGTCTTCTCGTACAAAGTGCAAACAACACCGCGCCCGGCGACAAAAAGGGGCGCACTATCCACAATAGCATCCATATTCGACCTGGAACGGCGAGGGCCTCAAAAAAAAATCTACCAAAAATAAGGCACAAGCCGATGAAAAAGATTAGCTTAATTTCCGAGGGACCAGCCGGTTTAATTTTCGAGGTGGCCAAAAACCGGCAAAGACCGTAACATCCAGATACGAAAAAATGATGAGAGAACTTGGAGAATGATCAATACTTTTGAATTTTAAATGAATAGCACGTGAGCGTTTGCAGAGTGCAAAAGCGCTCGCAACTAGCGTGAATTTTAACATACGCTAGGGTGAGATATTGGTTGGAGATGATCGTGACGGAGAGATTAAAATTTGGGAATATTATACGAGAAACACGTAAGCGCTTGCAGAGTGCAAAAGCGCTCGCAACTAGCGTGAATTTAACATGCGCTAGGATTAATTGGAATTGGAATATTAAATGAGGATATAGGGGTAGATGAATCTAATTGATGTGAGAAATAATTTTTATCATAGGCACCAGGGGGGATGCCCGCAACTAACGTGAATGTCAAGCGTACGCTAGGGAGATGAAGAGAGAATTTGAAAGCTTAAGTGCTCGGAATAGCCGCGAACACTCGCAACTGACGTGGTTGCAATCGAACGTCAGGATGATATAATATTAGGAAAGAAGTGAAGCCATAAGTACATGGGATAGCCAACATATACTCGCAACTAGCGTGAATTGCAACGTACGCTAGGATGAAAATNGTAAAAAATAAATTTTGGGAGTGCGTGTCTGTCTAGTATTACGTTTGAATTCCTTTGTGCGAGCGTCTTTTTTTGAGAATAGAGTAGAACATATAAAATATAATGAAATAAATTAAAATAGCGGTTGGGCGGGACTTTCGTTGCGCGCGGAAACTGAAAGCTCGAAGAAAGAAAATAAATAAAGAAAATTATTCCTCAAGCGGTAGCGGATATAATTTATGTACAGGACGCATATATTCACTTGTGGCTGTGCGTACGGTTGCAACCCTCACGCGGCCGTCTGCACCGGGGTGAACTTTGGCGATACGTCCTAATTTCCAAGAAAGCGGGGGTTGGTTTGGTTCTTGAATGAGGACTAGAGTGTCTACTTTTAAATTTGGGGAGTCTTTGGTCCATTTTCCGCGGGGGAGTAGCGAGTGAATATATTCATTTTGCCAACGTCTCCAAATTTGCTGAAACATTCCTTCAACTAAATGCCAACGCCGTAATCGCGGAATATCTGCGTCATCAAAAGAGTAAACCGGCGGCGAGTTGAGCGGTCTTCCTATTAAAAAATGGCCTGGTGTGAGGGGTTGCAAATCATTTGGGTCAGCGGAGAGGGCGGTTAGCGGTCGCGAATTTAACATGGCTTCGATTCTACAACAAAGGGTATTCAGTTCCTCTAAGTATAGAACCTTGTCTCCGATGGTGCGGCGGAGATGAGTTTTAAAAGATTTCACGCAGCTTTCCCATATGCCGTTCATGTGTGGTGCATGAGGGCATCCAAACATGAAGTTAATTTTGTTTTTTTGAATAAATTCGCGGAATTCTTTATTTGTTTCATCATTTTGCAGGCTCTTATAGAAGTTAGCGGCGCCCACGAAATTAGATCCTAAATCCGTAAAAAACTTTTCCGGGCTTCCCCGGCGGGAAGCAAAGCGGTGTAGAGCGGCTACGAAATCCGGTGTAGACAAATCGTGAACAACCTCTAAGTGCACTGCTTTTGTGCTCATGCACACAAATACGCACACGTAGACTGAGACTACTCGTGCGGATCGCAGTTGATGAATCTTTACTTTAATGGGACCAAGCAAGTCAGCTCCCGTGTGCAAGAAAACTGGGGTAGGTTGCACGCGGTACTTAGGTAGCGGTGCCATTATAGGAATTTTATTAGTGGGCCTTGCTCTAAAGCAGGCAACACAACGGTGTACAACGGATCTAACCAAATTTCGCGCGGATAAAATCCAAAAACTGCGAGCAAGAATAGCTTGAAGTAAGCGCGGTCCAGCGTGTAGGGAATCTTTATGATATTTTTCAGCTAAGAGTCGCACTAATGGGTGCTTAGCGGTGAGAAGATAAGGGTGGCGGGAATCAAGAGCCAAATCTGAGTTATCAAGCCGTCCTCCAACGCGGAGGAGCTTGTTATTATCTAAGTATAGAGTCAATTTTTGAATGCATGGTTTGCACTGCTGTTTTTTATTAATTTTTGCAATTTCGTCTGAAAATGACTCTGTCTGAATACGGCGAATTAACCATAATTCTGCCCTTATCAACTCTGCTGAGCTTAATGGCGGGAATTTTAACCCCTTTTTCACGTGCTTCGGTGCGGGGGAGCGGGGCCGTTTCGATTTGAGACTTGCTAAGACACGCGTTCGATTAATGAATCGCGCTATCCAAGCGAGAATTTTCACACCTTTATCCCATGACGAGAATTTTGGTAGCGAAAATTGCGGAGTTGAAGCGGTAAGGGCGGAAATAGGTGTTTTTATGTCTGGGAGACTCTCTATAGGTACCTCTACTAGTGATACCGGCCAATTTGTCGGATCCTCAGATAGCCATTGGGGGCCTTTCCACCAAAGTTTACAATTGAGCAGTTCGTCAGGGGTTAAACCTCTGGACGCTGGGTCGGCACAATTGTCCTCTGAGCGAACGTGTCTCCAAACAACATCGGAACGGAGCGATTGTATTATGGTAACACGATTGGCAACGAAAGTTTGCAAGCGATATGTTGGAAGGCGGATCCAGGATAATACAGTAGTTGAGTCTGACCAGCAAAAAACCTTTTCTATCTTATAATAAGTTTCTAACTGCGGTAAATATGCGTTGAGTAACTCGGCTAATAAAGTCGCGGCGCAAAGCTCCAATCGAGGTAACTTGACCTTTTTGAGGGGTGCAACTCGAGTTTTAGCGATAATAATCGATACATGCGCGGTTTCATTTTCAAGAGCGGAGCGGAGGTACAGTGCAGCTGAGTAACCAATTTCTGAGCTATCACAGAACCCATGAATTTGAAAGTGAGAAGAGCCTTTGCGGTGTAATAAGCGCGGAATTATAAGTTCTTTAAGCGCGGGCATCGACCTTTGGAATCTCGACCACTTTTCTACAATTTCAGATGGCAGAGTTTCATCCCAATCGTAATGAGAGCGCCATAATTCCTGCATGAATGCCTTGCATTTTAAGACTACGGGGGCTATAAGGCCCAAAGGGTCGAATAGCGTAGCGATAGCGGATAAAATGCCGCGTTTGGTTTTTGCGGGCGCAGAAAATTCGGTGTTGAAGGTGAAAGCGTCTTTTACTGCCAACCAGAGCATTCCTAAAATTGAGAAGCGGGGGTTATTTGGGTCGTCCAAACATGGGATTTCTAACTCGCTTGCGTGAAAACCTTCTAAAATACTAGGGTGGCTTGAAGTCCACTTCCGAGGGTGGAAATCGCCGAGCGCGAGAAGCGCTATGAGAGCGAGTATAATTTCACGAGCGTCTTCTTCTGTTTCGGCTCCTCCTAAAATGTCATCAACAAATGTGCTGTTCAATAATATTTTAGCAGCTTCAGGGTACTTTTCACCGTGATCTTGCGCGTGTTTTCGTAAGGTTCTGATAGCGAGGAAGGGTGATGGGGCGAGACCAAAGGTGACGGTATTCAATAGATACACTAAAAGCGGGTCATTTACAGATTCACGCCAAAGAATGGACTGAAAAAATCTATCATCTTCGTGGAGATCAATTTGTAAAAACATTTGACGAATGTCAGCGGAGAACACCACAGGGTGGCATCGGTAATAAATTAATATATCACGTATATCATTTTGCAGTTTTGGCCCGGGCAATAAAATGGAATTAAGACTCACACCATTACTCGTAGGGGCAGACGCATCCATTACTACACGAAGCGGCGAGGTACTAGAATTTTTCAAAACCCCAGTATGTGGCAAGTAAAAATGTTGCTGATAACTAGGGGGCGGTTTTGTGACAGACATAAAATTACTTTCTTTGTAATTTTTCATGAAATCCTTGTAAAGCGAATGAAATTTCTCATCCTTTGCGAACCTTCTTTCTAGCGACGCGAAGCGGTTTTCGGCCTGAAAACGCGATTGTCCCAAAGGGGGATGATTTTTTCTAAACGGCAGTCTAACTTTATATCTACCGTTTTCCTGTTGCACAGTGGTTTGCACATATAAATTTTCCGCCTCCTCTTCATCAGGAGTTAAAGCGGGTTTAGACGCTGTCACTTGCTCAATGGACCAAAAATCTTCGATTTTTTGCGAAATCTTATCGAGCGTATGAGTAAGAAGAGCGAGTGAAGAACGTTTAAGTGCGGTTTCTCTATTGGGCTCAGAACTGGGCACAGGACCCATGACAGTTAAGCCTAGCGTGGTCCCTAAACCGATAGGACCGTCTTGAGTCGGCGCGACCCTAAGACCAGTAAGCAAAAATGGAAAAATATCTGCTCCTAGTAAACAATCGCAATAATCGCTTTCTGT